CTGGGACCCAGAGATGAGTCAGAAGCTGTCAGTACTCCTTAGAGCCTCCCCTCAGCGAGGGCGAGGCAGTGTCCACAGCCATCACACTAGCAGATCTCAAAAGGAACTTTAGTAGATGTCCCTGAACCCACCCCACCCACGGGAACAAATTGCCTTAGCATTGCTGAGCCTTTGTTGAGGACCTGTTTGTCCCCGACGGCCTGTCCTGCCAGGGCTGGCAACACAGAAAAACAGTGCCTCCCGCCCACAGTTTTCGTGTACACCATGCAGAGGGCTTTTCATGTAATAATTCCAGGGCCACACTAGGAAAGACTTTGTAGGTCCCCAAGGAGGTGACAAGAGGGAGGTCTGAGTGTCAGGGCAGTAGACTGGATGCTGATGACAGCTCTCTTCCCTCGGGACAGCAAAGAGGGAGAGAGGATTCCCTAGTCTCTCTTCAGGGCCAGGCTACCAGCTGTCCCACACCATCTGCACACAGTTGATGACATACTTTGTGGTTGGTCTTCCCTTTGCAATAACCCTTACCACCCTCATGTCCCTTCTTCATCAACCAGAAGTGAGGTCACCTGGGAAATCAGACCTGCAGAATCTGAGCCTCTTGGTCCGGCAGTTCCCAGCCCCTGGAACCCTGACTCAAGCCCCAGCCAGTCAGTTCTACAGGTTGACTCAACAAGAAAGTGACTCAAGGGACTTCCAGAGCTGGGCACTCCCACCTGCCTCCCTGCTCTAGTCCACACTGCCCTAGTCCACGCTGCCCTAGTCCACGCCGCCCCGCCTGCCCATGGATCTGCATCATTACTACCATGCCCACTTTGGCTTTGCTAACATTATTATGCACTTTCTAAGTTAACAGTGCTTTCTAACAAGTTTAAAAGCATTATTTAATAGTCCTAAGAGGTAGGTACATTATTTTTACCCCACTTAACATGAAAAATCAAGAAAAGGAAGAATGAACTAGTTTTTCCAGGACTGTATAGCAGGAATGGTAGACCCAAAATCCCTTCCAGAAAGGCTTTGGACTCAGGGTCTTGCTGCCAGGGTTCAAATCCCAGCTCAGCTTCTTACTATCTGGGGCCTTGGGCAGTTTCTCAGTTTCTGAGAGTCTGGCTGTTTTCAGCTACAGATGTAGGTCTCAGTGCTTAGTTCCTGATGCTGCTGTGGACATTACAAAGTAGTAGTAAGTGTCAAGAGAGGTTCTCAATACACATTGTAGGTCCCCCATAAATACCAGTGATGGTTTTAGTTCTTTTTTTTTTTTACATACATGACAATAGTGGAATGCATTACATTCAACACACACAAAGATAGAACTACAAATATATGTATGAAGATATAGTTCTATCTTTTTGTGTCTCCTAGAGCAGACATTTCAACCCATGGTCCCAGTGATAGGACCCACTTCCTTCAGCTCAGGGAGCCCTCTTCAGAATGGCTTGTATGTTGTGAAGATCCCTCTGAGGCTTTCAAGATGAGACAAGCCTCTGGCCCCCTATGGGATCCTTCTGCTGATGGTCTTCTCTGCCCCGGGGGCTGAAGTCCCTATCCCGAAGGGGCAGCTATTGGGCCAGGGAAAAACCAACAGAATGCCAAAGGAGCCTGGGAAGTCCTGCTGTGCTGCACTGAGGCAGATATGGCAACTGTAGTAAGGGAGGCTCTGGAGTAGCAGAGCCCCTCCCAGGCATGGGGCATGCTATGGCGGAAACCAATTTCCCTACTCTAGGGCTCACTCTGGGCTGGGCCTTGGAGAAGAGAGCTGGTCCCAGCCTTTTGGAGTGTCTTAGACCTCGGGCCTCTTTCCACAAATCCAGTAAGCGGGCCTTGACTCCAGCCCCAGTCCTGATTCAACTGGACCTTGAGAACTTCTTTCTGAGGGCATCTGCCCATAGGAAAGAACTTCTGTGCCTCCATGTGTCACCTGCCTGAGCTCTGGGGGCCCCTCCTGCCTCCTGGCCCACTGTCCCTTACCAAACCCAGCTCCATAATCAGCAGTGCCTTGGTCCCACGCCAAGTGCTCCAGCTGCTGCAGGTCTGGAGGGGGCTGAGAGTAAGGTCCCCCCAGGGCTGACATGCTTGTTGCCATGGTAGCAGTTGCCTTGGAATCCGCTTCCCATACTTCAGCTTCTGAATGGTCCAGGAAAGCTGCCTGTCCCCCCAGGGACCAGTGAATTAATCACACTCTTTTCCAGGGTTCTCAGCCCTCAAGGAAGATAAACAGAACCAAACCAAGCTGGGGCCTATTTGCCCACTCTTCCTCCCCACCCTCACCCCACACTGGGCCTTGGCGCTTCTGAGAAAGCAAGAGCACAGGCAGACCCCCTCCAGCCCCTGCCTCGCCAGAAGACACAGAGATCTTGAGGTGGAACCTAGCAACATGCCATGGCCTAACCTCACCCTGAGTTCCGTGGCTCCAGGAGGACACATGGGGCTTGGGTTCTGGATGTCCCTGGGCTCTCGCCCATCTCAGCATTGCCCCTTGAACTCATTTACCTATTACTACAAGCACATCACCCAGGGACAATTTCCTTTTTCAGGAATTACATAATCCATATTGAGAAAAGAATTGGCAAGCCTCCCCATCTACATTGGTAACTGGTTCAGGAACCCTTAATGATGTTCTCTTGTCGAGGGGAGAATGCATTTCCTGACTGGTTCGTTTGACCACAGTGTCTCCCTCTGATGGAGGGTGCTACGGTTTGGATATTGTTTGAGTGTGTTCTCCAAAGGTTCATGAGTCAAAAGCTTGGTCCTCCATGTGTCAGTGTTAAGAGGTGACAGAACCCTTAAGAAATGGGGCCTGTGCATAGTAATTAGTTCACTGGGGGTGCTGCCCTCAGAAGGGACTGATACTGGTCTTGTGAGAGTGGGTTGTTATAAAAGAGTAAGCCTGGCCTCTCCCTGCTCTCTGGTTTCTTGTCTCACCAGGTGATCTCACACTCTCACACATGTTCCTACCACTGTGATGCCATCCCACATGAGGTCCTCACCATGAATGGGGCCACCCAATCTTGGACTTCCAGCCTCCAGAACTGTGAGCTAAATAAACCACTTTGCTTTATAAATTTGCCAGCCTTGGGTATGAAAATGGACTAATACAATGGGTTTGCTAATTCCTCCTACCTCAAGTAAAACAATATGGAAATTTAGGACTTCTCCACTAAGCAAGAATCTGGGCACACAGGTTCTATTGAGGACTCTGGGGCAACTCTTCTGCCTCACTATGTCTCAGTTTCCCAATTCATTCCATAATGGATCTGGAATGGCTTTATGGTTTGATGAACCTATAACTGAAAATGGCTTCCTAAGTCTTTCCTCCTCCCTTGACTCTTTCTGGGCTATGAGAGATTTAGAATGTCAAAGAACTCTTAAATTTGAATTTGGTTTTCAGTGTTTCAAGGTCAGAATGTTGTGGCATCTGAAACTTGCAATGCCTGGCCCTAGCCTCTGCACCCCCAGATGAGGCCATCCTTCAGTGGATGAGGTGCAGTGGCTGGCCTAGATGCCCAGTGTACGGCAGAAAGCATGGCCTCAGGGGTTCTGTCTTGCTGATGTGGGAGAGCCTCCCTCCTTAGACCACAGAGGGGCCAGTGCAGGCCCTGCCTGGCCCAGAGTGGTGCAAACACTTAAGGGGAGTGGGGGCTGGGGCACTGTGGAGGGAGCTCAGATTCCCAGAGCATGGCCTCTTGGGAACATTTTTCATGGACACTTATTTTGGCAGCTCCTCCTGAAACTAGTCAGTGGGGGATCAATACATGTGACAGAGACATGAGCTGTCATTTGTTGCCTAATTAGAGGAATAATCAGACCTCGGCCTGGAAGGAGGCACAGGGGATGTTAGCAGGGCAGCCATGGCTGGTGAACACCTGGCTCAAGGGGCTTCCTCTTTATGGGAGCCTGATGGCCCACCCATGATTTGCAGTCACTCTCCAGCTGCCTGGCAGTGTCACCCACTCCACTCCAAAGAAAGATTGTTGGTAGAGTCGGAGGTTAACTGGCTCTCAGAGTCCTTTTCTCTTGGTAGACCCAAGGTGGTCACATAGGCACAAGCCCTCCCCCTGAACTCTGTCCTATGTCCAGATGCCAAACCCAGGTCCCTCTAGCCATGGCGTTCTGTGGACCTCACTTCTGAGCTTGCCCTTGATGGTTCACCCTGTAGACAGAACAAAGACAGAGAGCAGGCCCCTGAGGTGGGGCTCTGGGACAGTGGTGGGCAGCCCACTGACCAGGTTTGGTCAGCAAGGTTGCACGAAGTGGGGTCAACTGTGCAGGTCCCACTGGACAAGGAGGGGTTTTCCAGACGGCAAAGACCAGGCAGACACTCAGAGCAAGAGAGCAGGACAGGAGCGGGGACGGCGGGGAGTGGGCAGCTGTGGAGGCAGATCTTGAGCATGACCCACATTGCAGACATGATAGGGAGAGAGGGACAAAAAGAGGCCAATGGGGCTAGTGACAGGACCCTAAGCAGAATGGGTGGGACCCTGGGAACTGCCCACGTGGGGACCAGAGCCAGGCCCTATTCTGGGACGGCAGAGAATGCAATAAACAAGGAAGGCTGGACCTAGGGCTCAGCCGGATTGGGCTGGTTACTATGCTCACCCTCAGGTGGGTGGACCCTGCAAGGCAGCCAATCAGGCAGTGCGGAGGAGCTGAGGACACCGCCAGGCCCCAGCCTCTGCTCCAGTCCCACTGACATCCAACCCCCCCCAATTCATCTTCCCACCCTACCCCATACCCACCACTGCACAGATACCAGCCATTGCTCTTCCCTGTCAGCTCCCAGCTGGGAAGCTGGGGACAGATGACAGGCTCACTCTCTCATCCCACTGGCAACTAAAAAGGGGGTGGGTACCAAGAGTACCAAGGAAAAGGGGATTCTTTAAGGCCAATCCTCAACCCTGCCAAGGAGTCTAGAGGTTTTCAAGAGGGGGGAAGGGGAAGGGTGTAGGGAGGGCAGAGAGTGGACTCGGAGGGCCACCTCCCCCTCTCTTCTTCCATCCCTCTTACAGTTCCTGCCTCTTGAGCCTCCCTCGTCCAACTCTCCCTCCATGTTTCTGTCTCTGGACCTCCAAGCAGAGGCCTCAGGTGCCCCTCCAGGACAAAGGGCAGAGGACAACAGAATGAGACTTGAGCATGTGTTCAGGGAGTCTCTTCACAGCCCATGTGAAGCCACCGGCTCATTCTTCCTGCTCTGGAACCAACAGTGGAATCTGGGCTGACTGCCCACTGGGCCTCTGGGACCCAGGCAGCAGCTCACATTGCAACCTCATGAATAACCCAGCACCTCCCAGCTGCCTACATCTCAGAGGAACCCATGTCCCCAGGACCAGCCCCCACCCCTGTCTCTCATTGCTTTAAACTTTAATAGGCCCAGGTTGGGTGGCAATTGAGCAGGCTCCAGGGAGCCAGGGGAGGATGTCCTGACGGGGAGAGCTTGGACTGAGCTCTCCCAGGACTCAGATGGAGGCTGGCAGAGGAGGATCCCATGGGTCAGGCCCAACTCACTAGAACTCTGGCAGTTAATGGGGAAAGGTGGCAAGGCAGAAGTCCCAAGAGTGGCCTTCAGTTCATAAAGCCTTTAGTGGAGTAAGAGTAAGTTGGGGTATATAAGTCAACGTGTAGCTAGGGGGCCTCTGACAAGCTGTAGAATAGGGTTGCAGATGAATCTCAGGATTACCAGCCCAGACCCTTACTGCCTTGCAAACTCCCACGCTGTAGGCAGAGCTCCAACCAGTGGACAGCCAAGAGGACAGAGACCCTGCAGGACCAGCCGGAGACAGAGCCCTGGGTAGGCCTACATGGACATCCCCATCAGCAGCAGAGACTTCCACTGCCTGCAGCTGGCCTGTGTGGCCCTGGGTCTGGTGGCCGGCAGCATCATCATCGGAGTCTCTGTGTCCAAGGCTGCGGCTGCCGTGGGCGGCATCTTTCTCGGTGCTGCTGGGCTGGGTGAGCAGGAGCTAGACAGGGGTAGGGGAAAGAAATTCTGTGGGGACCAGGAGTCTGGTCAGGTGATTGAGAAATGGCGGGGAGAGGTGGTGGGGTCAGGGGGAGTTGGTGGGGGGGAATGAGAGCTAGAGGTGTGAGCAAGGCAGCCCTTAGGGGTGTAGGGAGGAGAAGGGGTTCGAGGCAGGGCTCGACCTGTTGGCAGTGAGGAGACTGGAATGAAGAGGTTGATTGTCACAATCCCTTCTGGTTGTCCCCGGCTCTGCGGCTCTGGGCCCTACTTCTTGAGTTTGTGGTGGGATTTGTCAGCCTGTTTGTGGTGGGTTGATGGGGGCTGGCAAAACAGTACGGCTCAGTTGAATAGTTTCCTTTTCTTTCCCTGTTTGTCTCAGCAGCAGCTCTGTCCACCTGTCTGTCTGGGGCAGGCCCACTGACATCTCCACAGTGATGCTGAGTACCATCTCTCATCCTCTCACCACCTTGAGCTAAAAACAGAAGCTGGAACCCTAGGCTGGGGGCTCTGGGCATTCATAGCTGCAAATTCAAGCATAGCACTTGTTCTGGGGAGAGAGTGGGAGTGGGCAGGGCAGAATCTGCTCTGCTACTACCCCTCCAGGTCTGGGTGGGGAGGAGCATGCAGAGAAGCCCCCATGGTCACTCCTGGGGGCCCAAGGGAAGGGTGAAGGAGAGTTGGTGGTGTTGGTGTCAGTCGGCCCAGTTCCAGCCAGCTGAGAAGAGAGGAAGTAACGACTCTTCACCTGGGTACAGTAGAGCCAGAGCCTGTGGCTTTCACAGCCTATGGCCCCTTCACATAGGCACAGCCCCTTCAACCCAGGCAGGGTGTTGGGGAGCAGCCCCACGCGTACTCTCACCAGCTTTCATTTACACACTCATAGTCCCAACACTGTGCACTTGGGCTCCTCCTGCACACACCCAATCACCTTCAAAAACCAGCCCCCAGGCTCACAGCCCACCCACATTTTCCCACACTTCACACTAGCCAGGCCCCCTCCCCATCCCAGAACACTCTGTGTCTCTCTTCTCAGGGCTCCTCATCTTTGCCTACCCCTTCCTGAAGGCTCGGTTCAACCTGGAGCGCATCCTGCCTACAATAGGTGAGTCCCCTCCCCCCTTCCCTGCAGACCGCTCTGCCAAGGACTGCGGAGACCCTTTGTGTATAAGTCTGTGACCAACGGGGAGGTGGAGCAAGCCCATGTGTAAGACTGCTCCTGACTGTGTTGGAGTTGCTGTGTGTGTTGTACAGGCGTCGCCATGACTACAGTGTAGCAGGCTACAGCCTGCTGCCTGTCGCAAAGGTGTCTGAACCTAAGGAGTCCATCTTCCTTGAGAGGTTTTTCTATTCCCCCAAAGCCTCCAAGATCTCTAGAAAACCACCTCACACCTGCAAGAACCCTCTGTCTCCCCTCAGGATCTCTGAATAGCCCCCACCGTGTCTCAGCAACTCACATACAGACACCCAACTCCTCAGCCCTGTGGGGCCTTACATAGCTCTGATTCTCCCTAGGACCCCCATCTCCTTAAAAAATCTGACACCTCCTTTAAAAACTCACTTCTTCCACCCTTACCCAAATCAATCCAGATTATGTGAGAGACTAAAGGAATGCAGTGGAGTAGAGAGCAGCAGGGCTGGATATTAGACAGCAGGAAGAACTTTCCTTCGGAACCTGAGCTTGATTTGAAGTGGGAATGGCTAACTAACCAGAGGAACTGGGGTGGTCTTATCCTTTAGAGAGCCTGAGAATCCACCCCAACCCAGGATCAGACCAAGGAGAGGGAAGATCTGGTACCAATGGAAATAAGGAAGGTAAGTTTCTAAAATTCTGGAGTCCATCTTTCATCTTCCCTCTCTGGCCTGGCTTTGGAGCGCAGGGAGAACCTTGAGAGGCATACAGAGCGGCCTCCCCAACCAGGGAGGCAACAGTTAGGTGTTCTTCCACGTGTCCAGTCAACCCCTTCTTGTTCCAAGGTGAGCTGATCTCTTCTTGTTGGTCCTCAGAACTTTTCTGTACTGCCCGGCCTGGACACTGGCACAGAGGACCCCTCACTGCCCCTCCCCCTCCCTAGGTCCCACACCCTAGTTTTCCCACTTTCTTCTCCATGGTGGAATCTGACTCTCAGAGCTGATACCTGAAACCGCATATCTTCCAATTCCCCTTCTCGTCCCTCCCACACTGGAAAATCCCAGGGCAGGAGTGTATCAGAGTGGCCCCAGCCTGCCGTCTATGCCACCAGGGCCAAGATGCCTTGTACTTATTCAGCAGAAGGTCCCATGCCGGATGTTGTCAAAGCAGTCTGCGTGATAACTTGTTTCGTTCTCACAAGAACCTTGTGAGGGAGCTACTCTGTGAGCTTCATTTTATATATGGGACCACTGCGGCACAGAGAGAATAGTGGCATGTCCAGGATCACACAGTCAGGAAGTGATAGAGCCAGAACTCAAGCCAGGTTAGTGCTCCGGAGCCCTGCCTTTCCCACACCAGGCTGCTGTCTTCTTGATGGGTTGTTCTGTCCTCTCTGGGCAAAACGGGGCCTCTCTCTCCCCATCTATACCAGCTCTGCCCTGGGGTCACCAGGCACTCCAATCCCAGGTCCATATGGGTTCCTCCGACCCCAACAGCTCTATGGGGATGTGTTCTCAGGTAGCTCCTGTCCTGGTCTCTCCTCCAGGAGCCCGCAGCAGCCTGTCCACTGTGACCAGGACGCTGGAGAAGCTGAAACCAGGAAGCCGTGGGACGGAGGAGGGCTAGGCAAGGGCCACCCCTGCCCTGCCCCCCACTTCCTGACTATTACCCATCTCAGAGCCCTCCTGGGTCCAACTTAGAAGATCCAAACCAAAAATGAACCAGGCTCTGGAGACGCCAGACCAGCATTTGCCTCGGACCCAGACTCTTTAGAACAGATGCCACTGGTGTCACATTGGCCCCATGGGACTCCCTTGTTTCAGCCACTTAACCTGACATTTCTCTCAGGACTGCAACTCTGCTTTGTTCCCTTTTTGATCTACTGACTGGTTTCTCTAGAATCTGGAGACTGGGTCCCTGACTACACCCAGAGATGCCTCAGGTCCTTGCTTCATCCTGACCACAGAAGCTGACCACAGGAAACACAGATTGGGAGCCCAGCTAAGCCCCTCAGCCTCCGCAGCCCGGGTAGGAGGAATGGACCCAGATTCCTTTCAGAACATCAAGCTCCTGGTCAGTTCCTCAGGGACAGGCTCTGAGCAGCAGTTAGTCAGAGGGGGCCATATCCCCTGGTCCCTAGAGGACACAGACTCACAGAAGAACAGACCCATTGAGGGCCTTGTATACTCTGCTCTAGATAAGCCTCTAGCTGTCCCTTTTCTCCCCTGTCACTGCTCCCTAAACAGGACCTATGTTTACTTCCAAGCATGGGCTCGTCTCTGGAGTGCTCCTTACTCCTTCTGCCTATGAAAACTCCCCTCCTTTAAAGGCCCAGCTCAGAGAACCAATGCTCTTCTCATCCTCTTCCATCAGCCTGTGTCCTCTCTTGACAGCTCCAGGAAGGCTCAAAGTCTTCTTTTTCACGAAATAACCATTAAGCCTACTGCCCTTTTTCTAGTCCCTAGCACAAGACAGGGCACACAGTAGGTGTTCGACAAATGTTAGTGGCTTAAATTTAATGGGAAAACAACTCCCAAGGCTTCCCTGGAGAGCCATGTCAGGGCCCCATCTACCTGGGCAAGGAGACCAAGGTGCACATGGCCAGGTAAAAGATACCATCTTCCCTCCACACCTGCACCTCTAGGCCAACAGCATTCTTTGAACTCATGTGCCCTCTGTTCTTGTTTGGGAAGCAGGAGATAAGCTAGGAACATTCTTAGAAGCCTCCTCTGATGGCCCTGTGCTTCCATAGCACCAAGGTTCCCTCCAGCACAGTGGAGGTTCTGGTTTTCAGTGGTTCTGGGCTGTTTCTCCCCCTTGAAAGTGAGAGCAGAGAGCTAAGAACACAGAAGGCACCCAGTGCATGTTGGAAAACCAAACCAAAGTGGAAGAGCCCATCTCACTACACAGATGGGAAAATTGAGGGCATACAGGAAAAGGGATTTGGGGAGTCCCCCAGGGAAAGTCATGGAGCCAGACTTTGCATCCAGGTCTTCTGTCTCTGCAGCTGAGGCTACATCCTCTATACAGGTGCAGGACTTAACTCCCTGACCACACTTGGACAACCTCCATAAAGGGGCTGACTTTCACAAATTCTGGCTAGTTGTGGAGAGTTTGTTCCCCCAGACTGAAGGAAGTCAGCTTCCTCTCTCCTTGAATTTCCCCACCTCTCCACCTCCCTTCTGCCTGCTCCCTGCATTTCTCCTTTTCTTCAACATTAACAATAACTCAGGTGCCTCCTTGATCAATGAGAAAACCCTTCTCCCTATCAATCTTCAATTCTCACTTCAGTGCCCCAAAGAGATGCCCAAGGGTGGAGATGGTCCAATTAGGGAAGGCAGAGCCTAAACTGCAGGAAGGGTGACCCCACCCCACCAGCTCCTCCCATACAGGATCTCCCCGATGTCAGCTATGGAATCCCTGATTCCTGGCAGGGCCAGGCACAGAGAGGCTCTGGGGATCAGGATGGGATAAATTAAGGAATGAACATATGAAAAGGCAAAAACTGTATTCCAGCACCATGGTGCACTCCTATAATCCCAGCTACTGAAGAAGCTGAGGTAGGAGGATCACAAGTTCAAGAGCATCCTGGGCAATTTAGGGAGACCCTATCTCAAAACTAAAATAAAAAGAGCTGGAGATGTAGCTCAGAGGTAGAATACTGTTGTGGGGATGGGGCAGGGAAGGCAAGGGTTATGTCCACTTGGGAAGAAACTGGTAAAGTTTCAAAGGACCCGTGCATCAGGATGGGGGTTCTCAAGGTCCAGCCTTGGTTCCTCTCTTTCCTCAGTTGTGGGCTTCCTGAAACCTGCTTTCCTGCAGGTGAATGTCCCCAAGTGTGTCTCCACCTGGCGTCTCCCAACCCCATCACTGCAGTGGTTCATGTAAGACACCTGACTTCTCTTGCCTTACACACTTTGAAAAATGGGGAGGTGAGCCAACCCAGCAGGCAGGACTGGTATGGTAGGTAGTATCAGGGGACATGTCTTTCACATCTGACCAGCAACAGCACCCTCCAATGTTTCAGCATGGGGGCCCTTGCTCTTCCAGCAGTCTGTTCAGTCAAGGAAATTGGTTTTTCCCAACAGCCCTGTTCTGACACTTGGGTTATGGCTGTGCCCTGCCACTGCTGTCCTGGGCTGGGCAGTGAGAACACAGCAGTGAACTAAAGGTAGAGAGTGCTTGGTCCATCGTCTTTGATGGACCAATTTGGAGGAGGAATGTTCCAATTTAGGGAGCAGAGGATGAAAATAAGACTCACGTTTTAGTCGTCTCCCCCATCCTTACCCCACCCCACACCACCCCCATGCCCATGGAGCTGAGCCGGTTTCCTCATCTGCAAATGGAGGAGAGTTGCAGCAGCCCCTCACAGGACCACCACCCTCAGAGAAAGTTTGCCTGGCGCCTCGACACATCAGGTGGGGCTTGGCAGTGCATAAGCGGATGTGTGAAGGGGAAGGTGGGCAAGATGCCCTCCCAACTGAGCAACTTCAGGACCTGGAAGGTCAGCAGCTCCGACTCCCACCCAGGCCTTGCTGCAATAGTCCAGCCTGGAGCTCGGCCCTGTGCCCAGCACACCCTCCCCATGCGTCGTGGGGATAGTGGCATAAATTCCACCAGGATTGGTCCCACGGAAACCTCTGGCCTATTACATTTTGAGAAAAGGGCCACCCTGTAGGGACTCGTGTGGCAACACCCCTTTCTAGGGGGCAAGTACTGGTGACGGACAAAGGGGTGCTGAAAACAAGCTCCATCCCTGCAAGACTCTCCCCACCCCACAACGCTGGGCCCCCCAGGCAGTTAGAGGCTGAAGGCAGGGCCACCGCCACCGGCATGGGGAGCACTGTACCCCGCCGGGCTCCGGGAAGTGCCCCGCGCCGTGGGGGCGGCGGGAGGTATTTGCCAAGGAGCTTGCAAACCGCGGAACCTGGAGGAGCGAAGCCGAGAAGGACGGCGCCGCGCAAGTGGCGGGGTGTGCTCGGGGGAACGCGGCTCGCCCCTGGGCTGCCGGGCCGAGGTCAGCTGCCCACGCTCTGCGAGGGGCCGCGGGTGGTGGCAGGTGGTTGGGAGCCCCGCTCAGCCGGCTCCGCTCCGCCGCCAGCTCGGCCCGCGCGCCGCTCCTCCCACCTGTCGCCGCGGCGGCTGCTCCGCGGGAGCCGGCTGAGCGGGGCTGCGCGCGTCGCGAGGAGCCCTGGGCCCAGTGTGCCCGCCCACCCGGAGCCCCTCTCCCAGCCTCGCTGCTGGACTCTCACAGCTTGACGGGTGGGGTGGACACCCCGCCTGGCACTCCACCCAGCGCCTCGAAGAAGTCTGCAGGCAGCTCCCCGACTGACCGCAAGCGCTCCCTGGCCGCCCTGCGCTCAGGGGTCAGCCCAATCAGACTACAGGGCAGTGTCCAGACACCGACTCAGGTGAGTGAAGGCTGCAGGAGTTGAGGAAAGCTGGAGGGAGGGCGAGGGGGGGAAAGGGAAGGGGCGGCTTTAAGAAAAGGGGGACATACTCTGTCCAGTCCTGAACTCCCAGGAGACAGGGGAAGCAGTGCCCAGACAAGGGGTCAGGAACACGTGACCTTGAGAAAACAGATGTGAGAGGGACACAAGAAGAGAAGACACCATGAACTGGCTGCCTTGGACACCCTCTGCGCTATCCTTTTCCCTCCTGCCCTTAACTCTGTAGAATCTGCCTTAGAAGCCCCTTCCATCCCCCACATCCTCCCAAAGACCCAAAGTAGAGAGCAGTGAGCACCCTGCAACTTCAAACCAAGAGACAAGTGAAGCCAGGAAGGCAGAAGATGGACATGGATGGCCTCCCTGAACAATGCCTGCTTTCCCCATGTATTTAACCAGTATTCACTGGGCACCCGGAGAGAGGCAGGCACCTCACTGGGGACACAATGACAAGCAAGGAACACATAATCCTGCTCCTGGGGGAAGCCAGTTGGAGCAAGCATACCTGGACACAGGAGTCACTTCAAGGGCCCTGGAGGGAGTGAAGAATCTGAGAACCATGAGTTGGCAAGTTAGGAAGGGGGAAGGAAGGAAGGAAGGAAGGAAGGAAGGAAGGAAGGAAGGAAGGGAGGGAGGGAGGGAGGGAGGGAGGACCCCGACTACACTGGAAAGCAGAACTGGGATGGGCCAGCTGAAGATGAAGCCCAGGGCTTAGGCACAGGGGTCTGGGTGTCTACCATACCTGCTGAGTCAAGCTCACCATACCTGGTCAGTTCAGCTCACCAACCCTGGTGAGCTCAGCTCCACCGGAGAAGAATCAAAGAGCCACTTGAAGCTGAGTGTGGTGGCACATGACTGTAATCCCAGTGACTTGGGAAATTGAGGCAGGATGATGGCAAGTTCCAGGCCAGCCTGGGAAACTTAGTGAGACCCTGTCTCAAAAATAAAATAAAAAGGTCTGGGGATGTAGCTCAGAGGTAGAGTGCCCTTAGGTTTGATCCTCAGTACCCCCCCCCCAAAAAAAGCCACCCGGAAGAGTCATGGTTGGAGCAACTGCAGTGTGGGCCCAGGAGGGTCTTATTGTTCGTAAGAGATGGAGATGGTGGGTGAGCAGGTATAGCAGTGAGTCCAGAGAGGAGGGGACGGATTCGGGGATACTTGGTAGGAGGATCTGCAGGATTCTGAGATGGGTTGGAAATGTGTGGAGAGAAGCCTATGGGAGAAGGAGGGGCCAGCACTGGCTGAAGCTGTAGGCTTTGTGGGAGAAGGAACCCGTATCCCAGAGACAGAGTGTTCCCAGGAAGGAAGACTCAGCAGACTGAAGCTAGGGACAGCAGCCTATTCAAATGGTGTTCATTGAACTCAGCAGTCTGCTGGTAACCTTGGTGAGCATGGAGTCCAAGAGTAATGGAGCAAAAACCAAATTGGAGTGGATGATGCTTGAGAAGGAAGTGAAGTATGGAGAGTAAGCAGTGCTTTCAAGAGGGGGAGAGAGGCCAGGCAGGCACTGTGGTGCATGACTGTAATTCCAGTTACCTGGGAGGCTGAGGCAAGAGGATCATAAGTTCCATTCTCAGCAACTTAGCAAAACTCTATCTCAAAATAAAAAAGGACTGGGAATGTAGGCCAGTAATAGAGCACCCCTGGGCTAAATCCCCAGTACTGCAAAATAAAAATGAATTTATGTTAGCTGGAGACTATAATGACTTGGAGTTGAAGAAAGGTTTTGTTTTAAGATAGGACAGGCTGAGGTGTTTCCAGGAGGAGGTGTGGTCCAGTGAGGAAGAAGTTGGTGAGCTCAGACTAGGAACAGAAGGTTTCCTAGAAGCCTTGAGGGCCCAAATGAAGTCAGAGCAGGGATCTACAGAGAGCTTGTGCTATCCACCTGTGGGTTTTTTTTGTTTTGTTTTGTTTTGTTTTGTTTTTGTCTGACCAGGCCTGGCAGTTTGAGCACAGACTTGGAGAGACAGGAAGCTGGACCAAGGCAAGGCTGAGAATTTTCTGGGCAACTTTAACAAAAGGACAAAGTGACATGTTCAGTTGCAAGAGAATAACTGAAATCAGTCAGTGTGGGATCTCAAATGGATTCAGAAAGAAACAGGGAAGAATATAATGGAGAAAATATAGGGTTCCAGGGATTGTGTGTAATCAGAGAACAGTTATAGCAAGAGGCAGTACACAGTCCTGGTGAAGAGCATGGATTTAGGAGACACATGACATAGGTTTGAATCCTGGCTTTACCATGTATTACTACCATATCTGTGGACTTCAGTGAGTAGTTTAACCTCTCTGAGTTTCGGTTTCCCTATATGTTAATATGAATGGCAATAAGCCTACTTCACTCTGTGTAGTGACACATGCTTATAATCCCAGTGGCTCAGGAGGCTGAGGCAGGCAGGAGGATCGTGAGTTCAAAGCCAGCCTCAGCAACTTAGTGAGGCTCTAAGCAACCCAACAAGACCCTGACTCTAAATAAAAAATCAAAAAAGGGCTGGGTATGTGGCTCAGTTGTTGAGTGCCCCTGGGTTCAATCCCCAGTACCAAATAATAATAATAATAATAATAATAATGCCTACCTCTTAGGATTTGTCATACATTTATGTGAGTTAATCTATATAAAGGTCTTATGTCTTAGTCCATTTTCTGTTGCTATAACAGCATACCTGAGACTGGGTAATTTCTTTTTTCTTTCTTTTCTTTTCTTTTTTTTTTTTTATTTTTGGTACTGTGATTGACCCCAGGGACATTTAACCAAGCTATATCTCCAGTCCTTTTTACTTTTTACTTTATTTTTTAGTTGTAGTTGGACACAATACCTTTATTTATTTATTTTTATGTGGTTCTGAGAATCAAACCCAGAGCCTCACATGTGCCAGTGAGCACTCTACCCCTGAGCCACAACCCCCAACCCCTTACTTTTTATTTTGAGATGGAGTCTTTCTTGCTAATTTGCATAGAGCCCCACTAAGTTGCTGAGGCTGGCTTTGAACTTGCAATTCTCTTCTCTCAACCTCCTAGTTGCTGGGATTACAGATGTGTGCCACTGTGCCTGGCGAGACTATGTGATTTCTAAAGGAAAGAAGTTTGTTTAACTCACCATTTTGGAAGCTGGGAATCCAAAGAGGAAGATGCTGGCAT